AAACTCAGCAGGCATGGTCATGCAGTCATTCAGCAGCGAGCTTCTCACTTGAATTTGTATTGGCAGGCTGTTGCACCCAAACCTATGGTGGCCCATGGAAGTCGAACCCACAAGCTTTCGAACCCACAGTGACTACGCCCATTCTCCCTCAAAATACTGCTGTGAAGCTCCAGAGCCCTAACCCCAACCCCAAATCTCCTGACTCGGAAACCTCGGAACCCTCAAGACCTGCAAATCCCTCAACATTAAATCTCCATGAACCATAATTACAGCTGATCTTCAAGCCTCTGAAACCATAGTATAAGCCCTAAAACCCTCTTATCTTCAAGCCTCAGAAACCTGGTACAAACCCTAAACCAACCCTAAACCCTTGTTATCTTCAAGACTCATAAACCCTATCAGTAAGCCTACTCCCTAATCCTGAGCCCTATGCAAGCTTCCTTTTGAGGTGCCCTATAATGATCTCCTTATATATGTCCTTAAAAAGGTAGGATAGTTCGGGTCCAGGCGTGGGCATATCATACTGTACCTGCAATAAGGAATCCCCAAAGCCCTATTCTAATTATTCAGGCCTCTTTCTTAAGCCCTAACTACTCCTGGGCCTCAAGCCTCCCTAAACCCTAAACCCCTTAACCCTAAGCCCCTAAACCCCAAACCCCTAAGCCCCCAAACCCCTAAACCCGTAAACCCTAAAACCCTAAACCCTAAACCCCTAAACCCCTTAACCCTAAACACCTTGACCCTGGGGCCCTCATCTGCAGGCCGGTTCACGGTTCAACTTCGCCTCAGCTGCTGCCCGCATCGCCACCTCCCAGGACCGACTTCAAGGATAAGGCGTTGGGGTTTAAGGGCTTGGGGTTGGGGTTTAGGGATAAGGGTTTAGGGTTTGGGGGTTTAAGGTTTAGGGGTTGGGGTTTAGAGATAAGGATTTAGGGGGTTTAGGGGTTGGGGCTTCGGGTTTAGGGATGAGGGTTTAGAGTTTAGGGATAAGGGGTTAGGGTTGAGGGGTTAGGGTTCAGGATTTAGGGATACGGGTTTAGGGTTGAGGGTTAAGAGATCCGGGTTTAGGGTTAAGGGATACGGGTTTTGGGTTTAGGGGCTGGGGTTTAGGTGTTGGGGTTTAGGGATATGGTTGTTAGACCATCTCATGTGAGGGGACCGGGAAGGGATCTGCAGTGCCGCAACCTTTCCCGGTACAACTGTCTAGCCCTCCTTGAGGAGCTGCCGGTAGACACGACCGGTGAAATGCCGCACCAATCGATCACACGCCACTCTTGCTGTATGCTACCGAGGCCTCGTGCGCAGTGCCGGGATTCAGGGTTTAAGGCTTCATGGTTATGGTTGGGGTTTAAGGCTTCGTGGTTGGGGGTTTAGGGCATCGCGTTTAAGGGTTCAGTTATGGGCTTAGTTGAGTGTTTAGCGCTTGTGGTGTTACGGTGCTTTCAAGTTTGGTGCTTCCAGAAAGGTCGCTGAAGAAACCTGTGGACAACGCCGAAACCATTGATCTAGGTGGCTGGGCATGAGTTTACGGCATGTGATTGACTCTTGTCTTGAGGTTGCAGGCGTCGAAGATGCACAGGCTGAACTTTCGACTATGAAGTTGTCAAGGTACAGCAGCATAACATAGTAAAGAACATGTGATGTAGCAAAGTAGAGTAGGAATGTTGAAGTGCTGGGGGCCGAGGGCTCCTCATTGCAGCAAGCCGTCTCTTCCCAAAACTGCCAACCTCCCCGCAAGCCCCCAACTCCTCGCAAACGGACCTCACTGGTGAGCTGCGCATGCAGCAGCTCGTATTCTCTCCTTAAGTGTGGTTGCACATCCAAGACCCTAAACCCTAAGACACTATTCTCTTCTATCTCCCTGGTAGTTCAGGCTAGGATGCCCCGTAACCTAGGAATAAAATGGGCTCCCTTTTTGGTATTGGGTAACTTTATAAGGAACCTAGGACTACAAAAAGGGAATAAGGGCACTACTGGGCATCCTAGTCAGTAGGGCTTTCGATCGGAACTGCGGCCGCGGGTTCCCTCTTTGATCGACTCCGTCTACGGCGCTTGCTGACCACTCAGCCGGAATACGATCCGAAAGGAAAAATGGAATCAACGAGCAGCCTGTAATGTAAAGGCCAACATAATTCTGATAGGGTTTTGGAATCGATCAATTAGGCGATATTTACACAAGGAACCCTGACCCTGTTGACGGTCTCAGCCCGACCGTCTGGGAGCATTCTGGCATAGTGCAGTGCAGAAGCTACAAATGCGCGCTGTCTCGAAAATTGCTACGAACCATCCAGCCCATCCCGGTAAGGGGGCAGGGCAGGTGGCTAAAATGCCGGACAGTGCGGGCCAAGGCTTTCCTTGCAAGGTTCCGGCATGTTCGACTCTGAATCATGGAATGCCGCATGCAATCCTGAAACATGAAGGACCGATCGCTGAACCTCGGGACCCTAAACCCTGAACCCCAAAACCCGCAAAATGCCAAACCCTAAACCCACAACAACCGACAACACAAAAAAAAACTTAATCCGCAGCCGCAGGACTGCAAGGTGGCTTGGTCAGGCTGCGGCGCCTCTCCAGAGCAAAGGCTCACGATTTCAGGTCTTCTAGGAATTCAGGGTTTCAGGGTTTATTGGGTTTAGGATTTCAAGTCTTCCAGGGTTCAGGGTTTGGTTTAGTTTGGGCTTTTGGGGCTTTAAGGTTTAGGGTTGTCGGATTCAAACGGTTTTCTTTGTGATGGGCCCTTCATGCGGTTTCGCTGTCAGGTCTCGGGAGTTCGGGGTTTAGGGCTGTAGAGATGTATAGGGATGAGAAATTTACAGATTTGGGCTGCAAAGCTAGTTCAGATTCAGTACTTAAGCAAAACCTTCATTTTTGTAGGGTCCGCATACATTGTGTATTAGCGATGAGGATAAGGACCCCAAAAAAGTTATGGTAGCTTAAGGTGGCGCTTACAATACGTAGGAGCTAACTATAGGGCCGGTAAGTTGAGTGCTGCTATGTCGAGGACGTACTGTGAAGCGAAAGGCAGCTGAACCAGGACATCGGCGGAGAATGCTGGCTTTCTTGGCTATTGCACGGAAGGTCTGGTTTGTACTTGTATACAATGACGAAAGCCAGAGAGGTGAAACAGCTTCCTACCAGCTTCCACGGATCCCCTGCAGAACTCGATTCGAGGCGTCTCCTCTTCGGTAGCGACCGGCGGGCTTAGGGAGCTCGGAATACAGTCCTGGCATCTAGTCTAGTGCTCCTCGAAGTGGGGTGCATGTATAGCTTAGGTGTAAATGCAGTTGCTCCAAGAAGCTCCGAAGCCCCTTTGACTTTCAGAGTTATGTCTGTAGTGTTTGCAAAGCACGAAGGCATGCCTTCGCCGGAAGAGAATCCAAGCGTTTGTAGCTGCGCTGAATGTCCTCCGCGATGGGCGGCTCTGAGGGGAAGAATTACAACTGCAGATACGAACTCAACAGGACCTTATAGGGCTTCAATCCGAAACACCAAACCCTTTCGGCTGACAGCCTAGACCCTACAAGCCCCATCCCCTGAACTTCCTTCTTCACACTGCAGTATAAAGACCGGCAATAGCTAGATAACTAAACCCGACAAGCCGAACCGGCGTCTTGCATCAATGGACAAGACATGCAAGCGGCTCAAGGGCTTAAGCCCTGAGCAGCTTGTGAGATCCAGGCTGTATTCGGAAGTGAAATACGGTTCGGTTCGTGTAGTAGATGACCGCACGAACTTTCCCGACCATTGGAGACTGTATGGAAATGTTTGTCTTCCTAGAAGCACTTCATAATCCTTCAGCATAAAGCTTCAGCTCCTTAATAATTGTTGTTCAGGCAGACACGTAGTCGTGTCTGAGCATTCAAGCATTCCGCATAGCGGTTCGTGAACCAGCCCCTTTCTGCCCAAGAGAATCTATACTACGCCATGATGTACTTCGCAAACGACTTCGAACCTGACGGTGAACGTGATCCAATTAATACTTCATTCTCGAATTCTGCACCCCGAGGTGAATCCTCAAGCACTTGAGCTCTTGAACTCTACTCCCAACTTCAGACGGTCCTCTTCAATGTAGGAAATGCGTCGGGACATGTTGTGCGAATGCCTCGGGGCCAGGGTTTTGGGGGAATTAGCAGCGAGAGGTGGAGCCCAGGATAACAGGCTTCGCATCCAAGCATTCTGAAAGCTTCCGTACATGACCACCTCCTGGACCCCAGAAGTCCATACTAGTCCCATGTCCCTGCAAGAACACGTACCAGCAGGTGCTTCGGAAGCTCCCGCTCTGTCTGAAAACTTGAAGGCCTGGCGGTGTATTAATCAACAATGCTTACTAGCATTAGTAGATGACTATTGTTATTGTTATTATCACTAGTTAATACGATTATCACTACAATATTACTGTTGTTACGATTGTTATCACTGTTTTTGCTAGTAGTGTTGTTGTCGCTATTGTTATTATGTATTAGTAGCAGAAGAAAGAATAGCGAAGTTGTGATTATCAGACTAGACTAGCGAAAAACCGAACTGAAAGGTCAACCCGGAACTGTTGCAGCTGACAGCCTTAGTCCGGACTGAAGCTCTCGAAACCATAGATACCTGAAAATGCCTGGCTCTGCAGCAAGGCACATCTGAATGGGCTCGGATCGTCTTGGAGCCTGAGGGGCAACTTGAGAAGTGCACAGCTGTCTTTGTGCGACCTCAACAATCGCGCTGGGGGGCCCCGGTGAGGCGCCGATATTACAGTGATTACACGCGAAGACCAATGAGAGACAGGAACAATTAAGAATAGAAGTGTCAATGGTAAGGCAGCTGCTAGGGAAAATAGCATCTGGCTAGGGCACGCGGAGACGTCCCGAGTATAGGTCTGCAACAAGCGGGGAACGTTTCCATCCATACAGAAGCCGTGCACACTGGATTTTCTGGCCTGGGAAGGCAGGACGCGGCTTTATCAGAGGCTTGCTTGGCGATTCACGACTTCCTGCCCCAGGCGGATGCAGCTGATTTCACCATGCGACTGTTGCCAGAAGTGTACAGCCAGACTGCTCAAGTTTACGAAGTATTACATCCAGACATGCGTCTGGGCAGTCTTGGCCTGATGGTCCGCTGACTTGTACTGAATAGCCTTCGAGATCGGTTATGGCACCAGCTTTGGAATGTCCGACACTGCCACCATATTGAACTATGTGCAAGCCGCGGGGGCTATACACTCCAAGCCACAATTCGTCGAAAGGGGCCGGCATGGCTGGGCATTCTGAGCTGGAGTAGGCAAACTTGATGCCACGGAAATGGCACCTCCATGTTCGCCTGGTAGAGGTCCATGACAACCTTGAGGACTTGAATTCGACCTTGATATCGTCACGAAGCCAGTCAGCGCTCGTTCTGGTGCTGCCACGACGCTGCAAATGTACAGTCCCAACGACTTCAGTGGATCCAGCGTCACGCCTGAAGTTGCTGCACGGATGAAGCATCTGATCGACTGCGAAGGCTACTGCTTCTAGACGCAAGCCTCGTGCACAGGAACTTAAGTCTGCCAGTGGGACGCCCACATACCAACACAGGGCAGGAGAATCCCTTCCAAGTTCATCTGCCACCAGCTGTGACAAACTCTCACAAGTTAGCGTTGCCAAATGTTGGCACAAGTGCACCGGCTGAAGCATCTTTCCGAGAATATTCCGGCGTGCCACAGCTGGGTCCTCAAATCCTCTGCCAGCTCTAAACTGAACAGCATGTCCCAAAATCGGCGTTTTGGTTCCCATTGTGCTTACACCTGCGGTGCCGTCGTGCAATACAATGTCCACCTGCCCCGGAGAATGAAGGGCGAGAACGAGATCATCAAAATACGCCTGATTGAATTTGATTGCTGTCCAGCTCACACGCCAATAGCGCCACGATGGCATCCACTGCATGCTAGCACTCTTGCATTCCACCCTGCGCGTGCCACACATAAAATCAAACTCAGCTTGGTGTTGTGCTCGTCGGCGACCATCTACTCGCAAACCGGGATCAGCTTTAACTTTGGACAGCTGGAATGATGGATTCAATTTGACCAAGGTTTTCCATGTAGCCCGTTGTAATAGCTGACCTTTCCGGAACGCGCCCAGCTTGAACAATGGATCATCTGCATAGGCTGCTGCTGTCACAGATGGCTCAGTCGCAAAAGCATCTGGGAATTGTGCGGCCCGAAGTGTCAGGACTTGACGCACACAGCCGACATGTCGGACACATGGCAAAAGCCCTCCGTGAATCATCCGGTGTCACAGAGCAAATATCAACCGCGAGCTCGTCCAGAGTCTGTTGCCTCAAAGTCAATGGTGCCATTGAGACAAGCTTTTTGCTAAAGCCGAAGGCAAAGCTCGGGAAACGACTTCAAAAGCACCCGAAACTTGCTGCCAGTGGTATCGCAACAATCAATGCTGCTGCTCATCGTCCCGAGCTCGTGAAGTAACGTTCGTGCATAGTATGCATATATATATATATATATATATATATATATATTTTTATTTAATTAAGAACCTAGTATAGCATTATGGCGGCTACAGCAACGGCCACGAACAACAAAAAATACAGCAATTTCGACGCCAGGACATGAGGGTCCTATCTTGGCCTCGTTGGGTAGGCGGACAGGTTGGGTTGGTGGCCAGGTAAATCTCGGGAGAATGTTGCCTTCAATTGCTGGACACTCGCATTTGCTGCTCTAATCAACTGAAGATCCACTTTTCAGTCATATCAGCATGGGCAGGACTTCCATTCAAACCGGCCCCAAACAGATGCGGATGCTAGAGTTGTGAATTTCCACTGCGCCACAACATCGAAAAGCCAAACCTCTGCAAAGCTCAGCTGAACACAAAACTCTAAGCCCTAGACTCCCAGACCTTCAAAGCCCAGAATCTCGAACCCTAAAATGCCCAAAATAATGTCCGTCGAGAGGCAGGCGCAGACACGAAGGACGCCTCCTGCAGCGTTCGTACAGTTTGGAGCCGTGAGAAATGCGAGGTTTGGGATGGAGGCAGTTGAGTTCAGCGTTTCTTTTGTTAGCGCTTTATCTCTGCTACTCTGCACCAGACTGTAGGGTTCTGGTGTTTGGGGATGTTTCGGCTTTCGGCGTTTGTTTAGGATTCAATGGAGGGATTTGTAGTTAGTATTTTGGAATATCCAGTTTCGGAGACTCATCATTCGGACGACTTAGAATGATGCTTCCACGCCCTCTGTTCCATCGAAGATGTTGTCCAATCAAGGGGCCAAAGAAGACAGAAGCCTAGACTGGGCCCCTGAGACTGAGGGCATCCGACTGCTCGTGTTCTGTGGCAATCTTACCCTGCGAGTCTTGGACCCGAGACACTGCTCCCGAAGCTCTGCATCGTGAACCCAGCAACCCCTTAAGAGTCACGAACACACCCTGTAAGTTCCAGTAGTAGATGGCTGAACTTCGACAAGCGAACCAGCATAAACCATGAACTGCCCAAACAGAGTATACTATTTGAAGACCTGGCAAGGTTGCTAAATGTCCGTTCAGCGCAGCGGAAATATCCCTAAAGGTCCATCCGCCCCAATCCTACCGTAGGGGTCTTAAGAATTAGAATAGGGTTTTGCAGCCCATTATTATAGCAAGGAACCTCCAACATAGTATAGGTAATTATTAAGGCCCCTATATTAAAGCTCCATCCCACGGGCCTGCGGCGCCTTGGCCGGAGCCTTCCCATTGCTGAATGCCGGGGCTGTGCGCCCGACACGCCTGAGTTTCCAGAGTGCACCTATGTCACCGTCGCTTCCCTTGGGTTCTTCGCATCTGACCTGATTCTACGAGGCGAAAGCTTTCTAACTACACGATAAAGGCTTTTGGAGCTCAGCTCCCGCTTGTTACGCTCAAAACCTCCCAGGCTTAAGGGAGTGGGTGCTCATCCCCTTCTTTGTGAAGGCTCGGAGTCTGCTGTGCTGGGTAGCTCAAGATAACCTACTCCGCCCGGAGAGCTCTTGCCTTTCGACCGGGACACAAGGACGAGTTGACAACAAAGCCCCTCGTTTGGGTTGAAGGGCTTAACTTGTGCAAATCCTGCGCGCTGCTGCGAGCACTGACAGAAAAGTTGCTATCTATGCCTGAGCTGGTCCTGTACAGAAGTACTGTCACCGCCAAACTCAGCACAACCCCATGTCACGACGGACCCGTCTTCCAGAATGGCAGCAAAAGCGCCCTCAGAGGCTTGGATCTGCTGCACATTCTTCAGCTGAGCCTGCACATCGCTGCTGTCACCACCAAGCTCAGCATTACCCCAGGTCACGACGGATCCGTCTGCCAGATTGGAAGCAAAAGCGCCCTTAGAGGCTTGGATCTGCTGCACATTCTTGAGCTGAGTCTGCACAGTGCTGCTGTCGCCACCGAACTCAGCATGACCCCACGTCACGACAGATTCATCGCCAAGCATGGCAGCGAAAGCGCCGCGACGAGTGCCTTGAATCTGCTGCACATTCTTCAGCTGAGTCTGCACAGCGCTGCTGTCGGCACCGGACTCAACATCACCCCAGGTCACGACGGATCCGTCTTCCAGAACGGCAGCAAAAGCGCCGACAGAGGCTTGGATCTGCTGCACATGCTTCAGCTGAGTCTGCACATCGCTGCTGTCACCACCAAGCTCAGCATTACCCCAGGTCACGACTGATCCGTCTTCCAGAATGGCAGCAAAAGCGCCCTCAGAGGCTTGGATCTGCTGCACATTCTTCAGCTGAGCCTGCACATCGGTGCTGTCACCACCACGCTCAGCATCACCCCAGGTCACGACGGATCCGTCCGCCAGAATGGCAGCAAAAGCGCCCTCAGAGGCTTGGATCTGCTGCACATTCTTCAGCTGAGCCTGCACATCGCTGCTGTCGGCACCGAACTCAGCATTACCCCAGGTCACGACGGATCCGTCTTCCAGAACGGCAGCAAAAGCACCAACAGAGGCTTGGATCTGCTGCACATGCTTCAGCTGAGTCTGCACATCGCTGCTGTCACCACCAAGCTCAGCATTACCCCACGTCACGACGGATCCGCCTTCCAGAATGGCAGCAAAAGCGCCCTCAGAGGCTTGGATCTGCTGCACATTCTTCAGCTGAGCCTGCACATCGCTGATGTCGCCACCGAAAGCAGCATGACCCCAAGTCACGACGGATCCGTCTGCCAGAATGGAAGCAAAAGCGCCCTCAGAGGCTTGGATCTGCTGCAAATTCTTGAGCTGAGTCTGCACAGTGCTGCTGTCGCCACCGAACTCAGCAAGACCCCATGTCACGACAGATCCATCGCCAAGAATGGCAGCAAACGCGTCAACACCGGCTTGAATCGGAACCGTGTTGCGCAACAAGGTCAGGGAGTCACCATTCTGCAGCCTGGCATTCTTCATCGGCATAGTTCCTTCCACGACGCATCCAGATGAGTCTAGGAGCCGCCCTGTCCCGACCCCAAGTGCAACCTGAGCCCGTCGTTTCAATGTCCCCACCGTCTCATCCAAGGCTGCTTGCACAGTGGCTTTCCTGCCACTGATCAGCCCAACTTCCACGTGAATCGACATGTGGCGAACCGGTAATACCCGATCGTTCACCTTTGTACGATCAAGATTCGGGAATTGAAAAATAAGAAAGATTCAATCTATTGAAAGTTCTGTTGGGCATTGCTGGGGACCTCGGACCCTTCTATGATGCTTGCTTTCACAGTGTTCCGCGTAAAGACAGCTTTGATTGAAACATGGGGCGAACCCAAATCCATGAAGAGCTTTACGAGCCTATTTAGACTGAAGGCTTTAGAGTATAGGGTATAGGTGTGTGATAGTGTCATATTTAGCAGGCTGCGAATACTTGTGACAAGCTCCTGCAAACCCGCGCCATAAGCCTTAACGCTGAAGTGTGTTCGGAAGATTCGACAGCTCATGAGGCCAAGGAACCATAAGGGTCCATGTTCCTATAAGGGGCTTATTGTATTTAGTGTTCTGAATAAAGGGTGTATAGGCTGTAGGGCTTCGGGAGCTGAATATTGGCTCTGTAGTACACTTTAGGGTTTAGGGTTCAGGGTTTCTACTCCCAACACTTTGCCGGGAATCCAATCAAGGATGTATTTGTCGTGACTCAGCCTGCTATACGGCGAGAAGGTCGTCCTGCTTCTGGCCGGGGCAACTTTGCATACAAAAACCCACACCAAAATGGAGCAAGGTGCTCACAGGGAGTTGAGGGCTCAGGGCCTAGGGGTTTAGGGTTTAGGGGTTTAACAGTTTGGGGGTTTAGGGCTTTAGGGGTTCGGAAAGAAGCTGGAATGGCTCAGCTTCGGCCGGGCTTCGAAGCCACGGTTGATGATATAAATCCTGCATTATCCATAATAAGGAATATACCATAATTCCCATAGCTTAGGGTCCTTAAAGTAATGCAGGGTTTATGTCAATATCATCAACAGTATGAACCCTCCAGGTTTCGGGCAAGGTTAGCCACTTATGAACACCGAAGAGCAGGTCTGGCTTAATGCTCACGTGCCCTTGGAACCATACTAAAGATAATAATAATAATGAAAATAATATTAAGTATTCTAATATGTTTAAGAACCCCTTGGAGTTTTATAGAGTCCCAGGAAAACCGAACTAGAAAGTCCTAAGAAGCATTAAAGAGCTTGTCAACTCCGAAACGTCTCGGCAACACCATGAAGAGGGCGGAAGGACTGAACCTGAGGCCAAACGCGCAAACACAGGCTTGTATATGTACATACATACACATATACACATATATATGTATGTACTTACATCTTTGTATGCACAAAGTACTTGTAAGAGCACCACACGGGGCAACACAAACCAACAACAACGACCAGATCACCATGTTGAGTGGATCAACAGTCTGCGAAAATAGCGGCAATTTGGATCTTTCAGACGAGGCGCTGCTGGTCATAGAAGTGGATAGCATTGGGATTGCTGCCTCCAGTCGCAAGGGTTCACACTCGGTAACCCGTACAATTTCAACGACGTAAGTTCTGCAATGCTCTGCCATGCATCGTGCTCAGGCCCGACGCAGCTGGTTACTGTCCACTTGTGTTAACACGTAAAGTCGGGTTCCTGGCACAAGAACTTCCGGTGTGCCATCAGCCTGTCACAGGCCTCGTCCCGCCAAACCCAAACAGCCCTTGCCTACTTGTCCAGAATCTCGGAAAACTGAAGGTTAACATTGGGGATTATACCAGGACTATTTTGATACAGTGGCCTCAATAATCCCATTATACTATAGTTATAAAACAAGGAGC